GGGGGGAGCACAGCTGGGGAAATCCGGCCGATCTTGGGGGAAAACGAGATTCTACGCCCGATTCTTCGCGTAGAACTTCCTCCCCGTCGCGTCGTCGCTTCACCGTAGAACGAGCAGATTTCCCGTTGTGCGAGGCACCGAATGTATATATCATAATTGACGGCACCGTTCGCGTCTTGCCTTTTTTTTTCTCTTTCCCTCCTTTTACTGTACGATAAAATTTTACAATGACGCAACAGCAGTAGAGTACTAGACTGATCGTTAATATCGATCACAATGCACATAGAAAATAGGTTTTTCACGCGCTCGTGTAAATTTTCGCATGCACGCACGCACGCACGCACGCACGCAACCACACCCGCATAACGATATGTGTACGTACATCGACAGGCGCGCAAGTGTTTTTTTTCTTTTTTTTTCTATCACATCGTAGACTTTTTTCATCGGAGAGCTTACGTAAAAAAAGTATTTCTTAACGCTATGGGTGCTACCTTTCAGTGAACTTTCAAGTGTTATCGATCGCTCGCGACGATGTGGAAAACGGCCCGGGGCCGATTGTGTTATACGCCCGCTAAACGCATGATTTTTTATCCTAACGATCACACCTCTTTGTCACATCTGCGTTTTTAAAAAATAGTGCATTCTCGCCAATATGAATATAGCCAATACGAATCTGCCAATACACATCCGAGGATCGAGCTAGTTTCGCACGCGTACGGAGCATCCGCGCGATGATTGTTAAGTGATTATTAAAATATAAATTTAAAGATACGTACAATATAGTTACCTTGCTATATTTAATATTTAATTCGAGTCAGCTCGCATTATACATCTTATGTACAAAAAAATGTCACAATCACAATTCACAAGTAAAAGAGATAATGTGTGTATGTGTATGTATATTCATATTATCTATATATTTATATATATAAAATTGACACGATGCAGATACCACATGCAATATATAATCACTAAATAACTTTCTTACGTTTTCCCAAGCTTGGCAGCTTAGTTCAGCTTTATTTTCGGCCTGTCTGCAGTTGATCAGTAAAAGTATCTATCTTTTTCTTTAAAGAGAGAACGAGTCTAACTGCTTCCGGCTAATTTAACCCAGAGCGATTTCCTATCGTGCCGATCTCGCATTATAAATTAAACTCGAATTGAAGATTAAAAACATCATAGTGCAGAGAACATCGTAGTGGAGATAAGATGTACCTGTCTCTCCCTTATCTAATCCAGTCTACGTCCATCGTTCAACGAATTTTCGATAGTTATCGCGTTCGATAGCGATAAATGATTCATAAGGTGACAGCTCTTTGGCACACTGGCGATTAATGAATAATGTCAGCGTTTTCGGCGAACGAATTCAGATTGGCGATCCAATTATTTTTATATAATGTGGGAATATATAAAAACCTAATGTTACAATTGTCAATTCGGTTTATATATATGTATGATATAAACCGGTAGAAGTATTAAAAGTAGATGGCAGGTAGGTGCAGATACGACAGCAGCACCCCCGCGCGTGCACTATTATTCGGAAGGTGAACGGTAGAAGAAGTGTGTCGAGTTAAAAGAGCTTATTCAAGCGTGCGTCATACGTGACTCTCGAGGGGCACCTTGAAAACCTTGGACGCGAGGCTCGCGTCCGGCAACGACTGCGGCCGCGCGGCGTTAGTCACGTTGAAGACGACGTTGCTGGGCCCGCGAAAGCTCACCTCGATCAGGAAGCTCGTGTCGGCCATGCCGGCCACGCGATTGGTGCTGAGATCGGGCGAGCTCGTGCGCAGCTGACTCTTCTTCGGCCGGTAGTCGCTCCGGATGACCCTCTCCGCCTCCGACTGCAGCTTATTGTCGAGCCAGTGTACCTTGTCGAAGTCCTTGGTGCTGCCGACCGTGTGCCGGCGTTTGATCGACCGCTCCGACATCCCGTTCTTCCGCTTCAGCTTGGTCGCGCTCTCCTTGGTGCGCACCGACTGCCGCCGCTTGCTGATGTTGCACTCGGTCTTCTCGGTCTTCGTCAGCGACTCCGAGCGCCTCAGCTTGCTGCCCGGCGACTCCGACCTGTCGGCGTGCTTGTTCAAGCTCTCGGACCGCTTGAGCGGCGACGGCCGCTCGGCCGAGTGCTTGTTCAGGCTCTCCGATCGCTTCAGTCGCGAGGTGGTGTTCTCGCACGTCCTCTTGTTCAGGGACTCCGACCGCTTCAGGCGGGACCGCGCCTGCGAGCTCGTCAGGCTCTCAAATTTTTTCAACTTGTTGGAGTAGCTGGAGTCCCCCCCGGTCTCGTAGTGATGGCCCCGGCTGCTGTTGTCCTCCACCTTCGCGCCGACGTCGTTGTTCTCCGGCTTATTTTCCGGGAGATTCCTCTCGTTCGCCAGCTCGTAACGCTTCGGGTTTCCCGCGCGTAGGCAATCGTCCCCCTCGTCCACGTCCTTCTGATCCTCCTTGTTCTCCGCCGCGTGATTTGCCACGGTCTTCGCTTCCGGCCTCTGCTTGTCGCCGCGGTCGTTGTTCGGCGTGTCGGATTCCGAGGGGCGCGGCATGTCGTCGGCTACCGTTGAGTCGGTGTCCTTCTCGGGAGCGTCCTGCCGTAAATAAAATGACAATGGAAATTCGGGATAATTGAAGAGTCATATTAAACAGTCTTTTGTCTGTTATGTTGTGATTTGCATTTGAAATATGTGATACTAACTGACGTTAAGCAAAATATATTAAGTGACACCGTCTGACTTATATATGCTATATATTGGAAATAACGATCGCGTATCTATGCATACGTCGTTGCACTTTTTTGGAGTTGCGTTCTCACTTTCTCGATCGACTCTAAACGAAAGTTTAATATATGGAAAGAATCGTGTACCAAAGATTTTACTGGAAAGTCTAAAAATTTTGCTAGAACAAGATCTGGAAATAATTTTGTTGGGCCATCAAAATAATTTTATTGAAAATTAAAATGATGAGTATTGTTGTAAAACATTTTAATATTCTAGCAACCAATTTGAATTTCGAACAAAATTATTTCGATGGTCCAACAAAATTATTTTCAGATCCCGTAAAAATCCGTAAATATCCAGCAAAAATTTTTAGAGCCATGGCACACAGAAAAAGAAAAACTTAAGCAGTAAGACGTAAGCAGTGAAGAAATCAATATGTTGGGTTTTACTACTGCTTACGTTATGTTCTTAAATTCTCGATTGTAAGGAGACTTAAGATTTAAAAAAATTGACCAACCATAATCGATTATTCTTCTCACGTGAGATGAATAATCGACCATGATCGATCAATTTTCTTAAATCTTAAGTCTCATTGTAGACGACGCTTTATTTGTCGATTCGCTTACACTGCTTACGTCTTTATTGCTTAAGTTTTTCTGTGTGCCACAACCCTTAGGATCCATCTACAATGAGAGTAGTAAGTCGTAAGCTGTAAGAAATTGACCAATCATAGCTGATTATTCTATGACTTACTACTCCCATCGTAGACGGCTCTTTAAGAAATGTCTACAATGGGATCGAATAATATAGTAAGACGTAAAGCCGTAAGAAATTGAGCAGTCGAACATGAGGAGACTAATCGACTATGATTGATCAATTTCTTACGACTTACGACTTACTAAGCTTACACGGAAAGAACAATTTTGCTGAATCCAGATCTGAAAATAATTTTTGTTCAATAATCAAAATAATTTTGTGCGAAAGTCAAAGTGATTGCTAGAATATCAAAACGTTTTATAGCAATGCTTATCAGTTTTAACTTATTCTAACAAATTATTTTGATGATTCAACAAAAAATGATTTTCAGATCTGTTTTTAGCAAAATTTTTAGATCTTTCAGCAAAATCGTTCTTTCCGTGTATACTACTCCCACTGAAACGGCCTTTAGACTTTCCAGCAAAATTGTTCTTTCCGTGTAGTCGTTCCGTCGCTCTGACTTGATTAGCTTCAGGAGCTTCACGACGCCGGGCACTTACATCCTTCGAGCGGGAGAGGTGACTCTTGTCGAGCGATTTGTGGAGGCTCGGGTCACGATAGGTCTCCGCAGATGGATATTTGAATCTCGGGGACGCGCCCGGCTGCTTCTGCCCCGGCTGCTCCGCGACGTCCTTGTTGCAGGATGCGGCGGCTGCCGGTGGTGGCTGCGCTTGATTCGACGACTGATTGACGAGGGACCTCCACTTGCGGTCGAACGTGGTCGTGAGGCTCGTCAGAAGGTCGCTACCTGTAACCAGGAGGTCCGTGTTAATCGCAATCGCGGAAATACGGCGCGGGTCGGACGCGCGACGCGGAACTCATACGCCAAAAAAAGAAACACTCAAAGCACCGGTAACTTGGTTACTTGGTCGTTAACTGTAAACGGACAATAATCGTGACACAATCGCTAAACGGGGTGAATGCCATTAGAAGTGTAATATGCGCCTCGTTCATCGCACAAAACTGCAGGTGAATTCTTGCGTGAGTGCATTCCTGCGGAAACAAAACAAAAAAAAACGCTGCGAAAGGAAAAAAAAATTGCAATAGAAATAATATAAACAAATAACAGTGGGCAGCATCGAAACACACCGTTCGACATCGAGTAAACGTAATTGTTACGAAAGAATAATTGATTAATAAGTTATCGTCTTCAATCTCTTAATCTCACCATCCTCGGTTCTCACTCGGTTATTGTCATCATTATTAATAAAAATTATCGTTGTTTCGACAGCTATATGTACACATTGCGGTAATAACATTAATCGTCATTAAGCATCATCAACGCCTTTTCTTTTTCTCGTGCTTGAAGCGTGAAAAAGATGAAGAAAATTGTCCTTGGACAATTGAGAGAAATGAGATGAGAAAGATATGTACATAGACGTATGTACGTACTGTTTGTAGTAAGTAAATGTTTGTAGAGACAATGCAATTTTCATAAAGGGCGTCGTCTGGCTATAAAATAAAAAGGGAAATTAAAAAGAAAAGACGGAAGATACGCGAAGTACATAAAAATATACAATATACAGTATAAACGGTATTGCTCAAAAAGCTCAAAATCATACACTTGAAAATACACGGAAACAACTCCGGACAACACGAAGTTCAAAATCGAGACTTGAGATGTCTTTAAAGACGTCTTAAAGATATTTTATGTCTCGATTCTGCACTTCATGTCTGAGATTGTTTGAAAGTATCTAGAAATTTAACTAGATACAGATATAAAAAACAATAATGTCGACCTATTAAAGTAATTATAAAAAGCTCAAGTAGGCCGGTAGCGCTGTAAAAAGTTTGGATATTCTAGCAACCAGCTTGAACGTTCAATATAATCATTCTGGCTCAACATAATTACCTCTAGATCTTTAGAATTATCTGTATCTGTATCTGTAGTTTTTATACTTCTCAGCAAAGCCCCGTTCTTTCCATGTATTTAAAGCAGCGTCTGCAACATGAGACTTAAAGATTTAAGATTTAAGAAAATTCACCAATATCATAGTCGATTATTCATCTCACGTGAAGAAGAATAATCGATTGGTCAATTTTCTTAAATCTTAAGTCTTACGTCTCACTGTAGACGACGCTTAACAACAACACAAAAAAAAAAAAAATACTTAGACAATACTCGTCAAAAAACCGAAGCGACATTCGTTAAAATCGCCAAGTTCACTGGTACGCTTCTTCAGAGCGAAGGACGACGCATCTTTGGCGCAAATATACTTTTCATTCTCTACACAACGTGTGTTACGTGACAGTCTCGCAATTAGTGGCGACGTTACACATGTTACCGAGAGTCCATTCATAATCATATACGCTCAAACATCCGAGCAGCAACAAACGGCGAAAATAAAATAGCACGTGAGGTGAGGGTGGAGCGGGGGGACGGGGGGAGAAACGACACTGCGGGTGTTTCGTCGAGCGCACTTCTGTCCCGTCGGCGCGGGACAAGGCGGGGTTCCTGTCACGGCGGGCTAAGATGAAGAGAATAAAAAAAAACCAGGGGAGGGACAGAGAATGCAGCCTCCAGCGTTATTGCGCTCGTGAAAGCCATTATGATGAAGCTCCGCTCGCGCATTCTCCTCCGGCGGTAGCCCGCGGTATACATACGGTGCCAGAGTTATATTGACAGGAGTTTTACAGCGCTCGGACACGCGCCGAGAGAGAGAGATATGATACGCGCGGACGAGAGCGGGCGGATGATGCGTGAACGAGAGAAATGAGGCGGAGCAGCGCGGATAATACAATTGACGGTTAGTCGAAGGAAAGTATTACAACACAGACAACGGTAATGTATATCTGTATAAATATATATATATATATATATATATATGTCCGTGAAACGCGTGCTTAGTAGTGTAGAAATGTAAAACTGAAAATAGTGTTTGTCAAAAGCCATTCTGGGTGAGCCAGCTGTCAGAGCTCGTCGGACATCTCGGATGCTGGATGCGGCTGCGGTTTTTTTTTTTTTTTTTTTTCTCCAGACTCTCTGGGTCTGGAGCATCTGGAGCGGGACCTGGAATTTACCTCGGAGGAATCGATTTAGAGTCTTGGCGGTGGCGGGCTCGTTGCTGCCGACGACGTCGTTCGTCGATGATGCGGTAGCTGATGCTGCAGACGCGACAGCAGTTGCCAGCGATGAGGCTGCTGCTGCTGCGGCTGCGGTTGCCGTTGCTGTTGTTGTTGCTGCCGCTGTTGCTGTCCGCGCTCCTGACACGGGCACGGGCACGGACATTGGCATTGGGACCGCTGCGACGACGACCGGCACCGGCATTGACATTGGCGACCGGCTCGGTGTCTTCGGGGCGGCGCTACCGGGACCCGCGGTACCGTACAGGTGGGACGATATGTACCACCAAAAGCCCGGGCTTGCTGTGTGCCTATATACGTGGTGTTCAACCATTTCGTTTCGTCATTCTCGCAATCTCGTCATGTATACATCTCGCAATATGCGTGCGGCGGCGCCGGCGTGCGGCGGAGCACAAAATCCTCTCTCTTCCTCTCGTCTTCCTCCTTTGCGTCTGGACCCACCGTTATACGTACGTGTCTCTATATGGCCTTTCTACATCCATATAGCTGTTAAACTCTTATCCGAGGTGTATTCCTCGCGAGCCGCGTTGTACGGATTATATAGCCCCGCGCGCGGCGGAGATCCGAGTGGCCAGAGAAAAAAAAAGTATATGGAAATAAATGCCATGCGCGACGGAGAGACCGAGGAACACTGCGAGCTTGGCGAAAAGGAAGACAAAAATAATTAAAAAAAAAAAAGGAGAGAGAGAGAGACAGGCGCGGAGATCAAGAGCGAGGAGAGTCGAATTTTAAAGCGTCGACGTTTCTCAGGCCGCAATCGGGCCTGAGTCGACGGATTTTTACTCCTCGTCCCTCTCTATTACGGGCACGTGGATCCTCGATTTAGGAATACGCCGTCTCGGGCCAACTATATATGTATATGTATTCATTCGTATTTTCTTTTCGGGCGTGTCTGATCGCAAAGACGTAGACTCTGAGGCGAGCGGACAATCAGTTTTATAATTAAAGAGCACAATCAATCGGCAGAGGCAATCTGTTAAACGGTAGAGAAATATATAGTAGGCAGGCAGACGAGCAGAGTAAGATACAAGTGTGAGATTCGAAAATGCGCGCGCGTGTGTGTGTGAGAGAAAAGGTGCGAGACTAGATTACTTTCGCTAATGCAGTCAGAGCAGCCGCGCCCCATCGAGACATCGCGCTTACGATGGTCGCGCGGTGAGAGAAATGCCTACAAAAATGTTCTATCGCTATAAGAAACTTGCTTCTCGTGATCGACAGACGTGAAGTGTGCGCGCGCGCCTCTTCTAAGAAAAGTTCATCGTCATTGTGAGGCCAAGCAAGCGGTCGACGATTTCATTCGAAGCGCTTACGTTTAGATCCTCCAAGGACATGCATGCGACGGGAAACTATACACGTATTCAGTCCGAATTCAGTCGCACCAGTCGACGGTCAGAAGGATTCAGATACTTTCTTTTTCAATTGCTTTCGCAATCCGATATATCCAATAGACGATTCTGTTTTCCCTGATTGGACATCAAATACGAAAGTGTCTAATTAAAAAAAAAAAAAAAAAAGTCTCAAATCCTTCCGGCGCCGGCTGTCGTTTATGAGAGAAAACCACTGGAGATCGCAGAAGCAGTCCAATCGTGTCAATGAAATAAATCTGCTTTTTCTCAACGCCGAAAGCCAAAGAGTGGCATGCAGCACATGACAACGTGTAAATATATAGAGGATCGGCCAAAAGGTGCGATGTGTAACTCTATCACGAAATACGCTGTGTACAATCGTGGACATATCGGTTGCGACACTTTTTTTTTAATAGGTTTCAAAATGCACTAATATTTTGCAAATGCGAATCACGATTGGTGTACTGTCTCTAGACTAAAGATAGTACACCATCGTGATTCGCATTTGCAGAATATTAGTTACCTATAAAATATATATTATACACATACATATATATATATATATATATATATATACATATATATATTAAATATATACTAAAAACCTAAAAAGTGTCGCAACCGATATGTCCACGATAGTACATATATAGTCCCTGGTTATAATAATATTATTAGACGCATTACATTTTTCACAATTCATTTGACTTTCAAACAGGATGTATTATTCCGATCTCTCTATCATTGTTGTAATCGATTGAAACATATAAAGAAAATAATTTATATCTATAAAATGGAAACATTTGTTCTGATTAACTTGTGATTTACAATGTCCATCAAAAAGTATGAAGTTAGCAATTGTAGAAGCGCCAGTGAGAAAAGCGCATTTGTATTTGGTTTTATAGAAATTTCGTTTTATTTATTTTTATTTGTTTCATTTATCATAGTAAACTTTAATTGTAAACATTATATAACATTGGCATTAGAATATCTCAACAGCCGCCAATGACTTAACAAAACATTTAAAAAACATATATATCTTTTTATTCTATAAGAATGGATATTTAATGAATACCAACAAATCTGTGTTTTTTTGAGAAACAAAAGAGAAAATTCTGCAGATGTTTAGAATATTCTTAAAAAAAAAAAAATAAAAATAGTTGTCATTTTCGGCCACTCAAGATGAATCCATCGAAAAATCCTATGCGTCTAATAATATATTAGCTAAGAATTGTATGCAAATTATTCCTTCCTCTATTTTTTTTTATTCCAGCAGCCTCTTTGTGGCCGAGCCTCCTTGCGCTCGGTCGCGAGAATACCGAGGAAGTACTTTCTAAAACATTAAAGATCTGTTTTCATTACAAGAAGCCTCGTGTGTCGTGAACGTGTTCGCACTAAAGAATATATGCGAAATAAGTTGCTACGCTCCAAACTGTGTGTTCGCGCGCGACGATAACGGGCGTCAACAACGCAACGCAAGTCTAAATGTCTTCGCTGCACGTGAATATAACTTTGTAACATACATTTTCATAATCGTACATAATAAGTAATCGACAAAGGAAATCTCGCTTGAAGCAAATAAGAAGAGAGAATGTACCTAGAAAGCTTTTTGTTAATAGTGAGTATCTTCTGTGTCCACTGCAGAAAACAAGAGCCTGCTACACTCACCGATCGTCAGAAGCGATAATTATACAGAGAAAAGAAAAGATATAAAAGAGAATATGAATAGAGGCAGATTAATAATATCGGGACAGAGAGAACACGCGTCCTTAATTAATTATATACGTCGATTTGAGAAACAACGGGAGAGTCGAGTATATCCGCGGAGAGACGAAAAGGGGGACAGGTTAAGTTTTCGTGTACACATTTGTGTACAATAAAAAATGAATATGTTGTTATACCGAAAGTACGCAGCTTTTGACTCTCGCGTAAAGTTGCTTTTTAAGAATTGATGTTTTCCAAGAAGAGATGCTGCAGAAATAGCAACGGAATTGTCTCTTTGGTACCGTGTATCGCTACTTTTCACGCTCTATTTATACAACATAATACACAATATATATATATATACTAGATATGGACCTTTCACGGATCCCTTAAATTCTGAGTATCAGCACCATTTATCGTTATACGTTATATTTGACTAATTAACTATCGGACATTTCCGACGTGAAGCGAGAATACAAGAGAATTCATTGTTCGCGTGTTCGTACACCGCTTCACACACGGATGTACACTTTTACGTATTTATCGCAATATGCGATTCTGGGAAATTTATCGACGGCATTAATATATGCTTCGGTATCTGGCGCATATAATATATACGGGGAGACTCAGAATAACGACGTATCACGTGAAATTGTAAAAAAAAATGCGATACTAACCATCGTCCGAGCCGTCGCCGGGAACGCCACGCTGCTGCTGCGATGGCGACGGGGAGGACTGCGAGAGATTGTGAACCTCGTGCAGGGAGTCCAGACTTCCGTATCGAACCGGCGGCAAACAAATCGACTCCATCGACGGCTGTAACGCCAACGAATTCGTGTAAGTAAACTCGATCGAGAGCGAATGGCATCTTTGTCGAGTGGCAAAGTAACGCGCCAGTCAATTCTTGCAGGAAAGAGAAAGGAGGGTGTTAAAAAAGGGCCGATTTTGGCCTCAAAAGGTGCAAGTAAAAACAGTAGTATTTTTTTATAGATTTTGATTTCTTGAATACGATAGAATTATTAAAAAGTTCGTAGCGCTTGGGGAACACCTTGAAAATTGAGCATAAACACAGCGTTTTTACTAAATACGCTGTGTTTATGCTCAATTTTCAAGGCACTACGAACTTTTTAATATTTCTATCGTATTCAGGAGATCAAAATTTATAAAAAATACTACTATTTTTTACTTACACCTTTGGGGATCGAAATCGGTCCCTCTTTAACATCCTCCCTTATTTAAAAGTTTACTGACTTTAACGAAAATGTCGCAAAATGAAA